AGTATTTTTATATCTTTCCTAAAACAAATGGGAAAAAAAACCTTTAATGCAATCACAGTTTTTTAAATATTAAATGTTTAGTATTTTCCTTAATCAGCAATAGCATAAGATTCTATGCAGGGAAGTGTTGGCTTTGGGGGTGTATTTTTTGGTTCCTAGTTCAAGAGTTTGCTTTTCTGTAGGTACAATGAAATTCACTTTAATAATTAGCTCAATTTGGGGGCAGGTGTAGGCCTTTTTTGTGTATTTAAATTCAGAGATACTGCCCTACATTTTAAGATCTTTAATTTCAGCTGCCTGCTTCCTCCTTTTACTTCGTAATCATTGTCCCCAACAATGCCTTCCTATTCCAACGTACCTCCCTTTTCTCTTCAGGCAAGTACCTTCTTAAGACTGCCATCTTTGGGTCCTGCTGTAAGCTAGTAGCCATTGCTCTGTACCATCACGTCTCAGATGTAGTCTCAGTACTTCCCCACCAAGGATGGGATCCTCTATTTTTGGTAGTGCACTCTACTGTCTGTCACATCATTTTTTCTACAGTCCCACCTTACTCTCCATCTGGAGTGATCCCCAGAGCTCATTTTGCTGGTTTGGGATGTTTATTTCCTAACTTATATTTTAAATCAAAGTTTGTTGTGTAGGTGTGAGTTGTGAGTAACTTTATCTCTCCTCTGTCTGGTTTTTGTCAAATATGTAAAGAGATTCAGATTTAGATGAGAGTATAGATATTGGGTTTTATTGACTTTTGTATCTTCGGAACTGAGCACCTAAAATGGTCACCTAAAATGTTATTGGTCATTCATTCATCAGATATCTGGTTCTTCAGTACTGTTCTTAAAGGTTTGTTTTTAAAGAAACTACTTGCCAGATTTAAAAAAATTAAGAGATGACTAGTTACTCCTTTGCCAATCCATTTTATGTCAGTCTTCAGGTACCTTTTCTAACATATTATTGCATTTAACTGTTAACAAGTACTCATGGACTGTGTATTCTAACTAAAATGAATTTGAATAGGGCATGTTAGATAGAGGCCCTTGAAAAATGTGAAGGGAGAAGGAAGATTGGTGCCTCCGCATATTCAGTCACTCCCATTTCTTTCCTTCCAAGGAAAGATTTGATAGATTGATGAGCCTTGAGAGTATAGATATTGGGTTTTATTGACTTTTGTATCTTCGGAACTAATCACATTGACTCAAACATGATTGATATAGATAAAGTTTATATAATGTGTGTTGAAAACAGTGACTAGGAATAGGGAAAAAAAAAATCACTGTTTCCTACCTTGGCAACTGCATTTCACACAATTAAGAGAGAATATGATTGCATTGAACAAACATTTGTTGAGCAGCTGCTGGCTTT